CCTGCTTGGGAACCCAGAGTACTTTATAAAACTTAAGTCATCCTTATTGCATAAACAAAATGATAGGAGAGAAGAATGTTTCTCATCATAACTCTGCATCTGCCACTAGCTCGTGGTTTAGCGTCAGGCAAGTTGCTTGCTGCTGGAAACAGGAGTCACGTCAGAGACTCCAGGCCAGACTCCTAGACAGCCACGTCACCCGTAACTGAAATGAAAGAGAGGTACTCCTGCTAAAAATACTTTGAAAACTAGTCTTCGCTGTGTCAAGTTGGCTTTCGCGTCTTCAGAAACTTCACTGGCTTGTCAAGCAAGCCAGCTCCAAGTTGGGAACAGGGCTGACCTCTAGTGACAGTGTAAAGGATAGATTTCTTCGTGGAGGTTAAGGACTGCCCTGCTCTTACTTCAGGCAAGCTTTCTCTTGAAGTTTTTTCTTGGTCTTGCTTAAAAGAACAGCTGCCCAAGTCATGTAGTACTTACTGTTTTATAGCCAGCAAAAAGACAGATGTTACTTTGACAGATCTGTCTTGGAGAGTCACGGTGACTTGCAGAGTCACGGTGACAGTTCCCCTCAGGCATCTGTATATCAGCTAACTCTGCCTGTAGTGGGAGTTTGGCTTTCAAAGTAGCAACAAAGTAGCACAGAACGTAGCTAAGAAAATAAAAGGAGTGGAGCTCTCGGCATTTCACTTCAGCGTTTCATAGGCGAAGATTCCTTAGCCGTTACCAAGGACACCTCAGTATTGAATGACATCACGTAGCATGCACAAATCTGAACTTTTTCTGCTAGTTAACGGCATGTTCATGTGTCATCCTCTGACCGCTTTTGTTGTTTTCATTTATTACAGGTATCGAAATGAGAAAGATCACAGATTTACATACACCTTCCAGCGAGACTGTTAATATGACCCTCTACTATGTATTGTCGAGCATGCCAGCTCCTTTGCTAGATCCACTCATTAGTGGCGAGGACAGAGAAAAAATGGAAGCCAGCTTGAACTATGCGGACCACTGCTTCAGTGGCCATGCAACCATGCACGCAGAGAACCTGTGGCCAGCAAGGCTGACCAGCGTCCCCCAGATCTTGCAGCTCTCAGACTTGTGGAAGCTAACTCTCCAGAAACGGGGATGTAAGGGTCTCGTGGCAGCTGGGGTCCATGGACTCATGCAGGGAATGGTGCTTAGCTTCGGGGGCCTGCAGTTCACAGAAAACCATCTTCAGTTTCAGGCTGACCCTGATGTACTTCATAACAGCTATTCCTTACGTGGGATTCATTACAATAAGGACTTGATTAACCTGGCTGTTCTGCTGGATGCAGAAGGAAAGCCCTTCTTGCATGTGTCTGTGAAATTCCAAGACAAGCCAGTTAGACTGTATGCGTGCGAGGCAGGCTGTATGAATGAGCCTGTGGAGCTGACCTCTGAGGCACGAGGTCATACCTTCCCTGTCATGGTGACTCAACCCATCACACCACTGCTTTACATATCGACAGATTTGATCCACTTGCAGGACCTGAGACACACACTCCATCTAAAAGCTATTCTGGCTCATGAGGAACACATGGCCAAGCAATACCCAGGCCTACCCTTCCTCTTCTGGTTCAGCGTGGCCTCCTTAATCACACTGTTTCACCTGTTTCTGTTCAAACTCATCTACAATGAATATTGTGGGCCAGGAGCCAAGCCGCTCTTCAGGAGTAAGGTATAAGGCTGCTGCTTTTGGCTGCTCTCCGCTGTCATCAACCTGATTTTCTGTCCACTGTGCCTAGGGAGGTTCTCTCTCTGCCTGTGAGGATTTTCAGTCTCTTGCAACAAGTGATCCGTGACCTCTTCTTGCAAGAAGCAGGATTAGGGCACGGCTTGGAGTGGTAGGGATCACACAAACATTAAAAAAAGATAAATCCATTGTCAGTCCTTCTTAAACATTGAGAAGGTTGCAGTTTAAGGCAGACACAGCTTTTCTGTCCTTTTTTTTCATTCAGTGGTGTAGAACATTGCTTGTATTTAAGAGAACAGCTGCAGCCCTGACAGAGGATGCTGTTTCTTGTTATGCAGTAAAGGAATGCTTGTGACAGGGTTTCTGTACTTGTCTTGACTACTGTGTGGGAGATGTACACGCTTCTCTGCCTTGTCTGAGTGTGTGATGTGTCATACGAGAACAACAAATGCTAGCTAGTGTTCTTAGGCAAGTCAAGGCACTGACTTGTTGGGTCTGGGGTAAATGTTCATAGGCACATAGACGCTGTTCAGTCCTCCATCATACCACATTTACCAGCATCAACTTGGAAAACGGCTGAGTTAGTGTTTCTGAAATAAATACAAAATACATAGCTGCTCTAAGAAAAAGGCTGAGTTTTTTACTGTGAGTTGGAGGTTCAGATTTCAAGCTGTACTGCATCTCACTTCTGCATGAGGGAGTTGGAAATCTTGTTTGAATTGCCTTAGAATTAATGTCTGAGGACGGGAGGGGATATGGCAGAAAGAAGAACAATGGTAAAAGCTTAGTGCAGAACAGATACTAGACAGTGGATTCTGCTCCTAGTACTGGTACTTTCTGGTTGCATGTTGATGCTATGGAGGGGAAATGAAAAATTAGACTGGATTTGCTGTGTGAGCTAGCTCTGTTGTTCGGAGGCAGCTCTCCTTAGGGTCAGATGGAGTTAAAGGTGGCTTGTCTAATTTTTTTTTTCTTTTTTTAACAAAAATTAGGAAGCAGTTAAATAGAGCTGTCAGAGGAAAAGCTCTGGCTTTAAATTGTCCCGTTTTCCCGAACTGTAATAGAAAAGTAAATGTTGAATAGCTAAGGCTGGACAAAAGGTACTGGACTAGATTTGATATTCAGTATGCGTGGGGTGTCGTTAAGATGAGCTGGCAATGGTCTTGTCAGCTCGCTGGCTTTGCAGTGTTGAGCACTGGAGTTCAGGCCTGATCCCAAGTGGGTCTGAATACGTGTCATCCTTTGAAAGAATGAGTTGAAGATGCTTGTGGCTAGACAGACAAACCTAGGAAGAGGTAGGATAGATAATGCATATCAAAGAAATCTGCAAAGAAATAAGCCTATGATCATGATCAAAACATTAATGCAAAAGGAGGAAGTGGTCAGAAAGTAATTTGAATTATTGTTTATACAGCTGTGTCCTGAAATTCTAAAGCTGTTGCATCCTTTTTTCATTGCTGTTTATTTGGTTGCCTTTGTCATCTATGAGACTTGCCTTCTGCCTTTTACAAAAAGACTTGTTAACCATGATTACAGGTAGCTGTCCCTGACACTATTCACTGAATTGCTGAGAAGCTTCACAGCTACAGGCCAGGGCTGACTTAGTAGCTCTTCATTCTTGGCACTGCAAAAAGTCTTGCAGTGTGTAACAAACAAGTGTGTTTCCTGGTCTTAACTGGACCTGCTTAAAACGAAGATGGTGCAGAACTTGATTCGAGAAACAGGGAGGAAGTGGAAGCTAGTTGAAGCTCACAATCTCTGTAGCAGTAAGCAAAATTAACCGTGTTGAAATAACACCTTGTTTTATTAATTGGATGGGAGTATCCCAGTGTCTGACTGAACTTAACAGTCCTGCTTTCAGCCTCCATTTGCACAAGACGTCTGACAATTCCGCAGCTGAGAACAAGGACCTTTTGAAAGCAACAATCCTTTTGTGCCTTGTTAAGAGAGGAATCCGTGACTTGGAACACGTGGTTATTCAAGAGTTTATCCTTGGAGCTTGTGTAACGGACATGTTTCTTTTTCCTTGTAAGCTGTTCAGTCCCCTGAGAATAATCCATGTGTGAAAAATACTTGAAAATACACCGAGTCCTTTGATATTTTGATTCTTTTTTAATTTTACAGGAAAATAAAGAATGATGATTCCTTTCAGAGAGTTAACTTAACTAGAAAACTTAGTATAACCTCCTTTCTGGGATACGTTTCTTAATTTATTGCTTGGGGAGTGGGGGGAGGGAAAGGATGTTAATAATTTTGCCTCCGCTTCAGTAACAAGGCCGTCAATTGAACTGTAGATATCTAAGTGATGGTAACAGGTTTTTCAGCATTTATCATTGCAGGATGCAAAATCAGTTTAACTGCTTCCGGATTTACCCTTGGAAATGCTGATCTGTGAGTTTTCTATTCTGAGCATACTGAGACTTTGTGCATTGATTTGTTTTGGCTGTTGGGGGAGACATCTCACTTCCTAGTGATTTAAAGATTGTTTGGTTTTAAAATACCAAAGCTGTTGTTTCTAAATAAATACCTTTCAGTCTAGTCTGACTACTGAAGTGTGTTTTTTGTCTCTGTTCTTTTCTCCAACCCACCCCTGCTTTTTCCCTCCGTTAAAACAAGCAGAGCCTTATGTTACATCTGTGGCCAATATCAACTACAAAAGTGCCTGGATTGAAAGGAAATACCATGTGGCAAATAATATGTGAAAGGGTCTAAGCTGGGAACAGACACTGTGATCCCAGTGTATTCGAGGTGAGCATGTAGCACTGTGTTTTTGCGGTATGAATCTCTGATGTTTGTTTAACAGACGATTTCTTTGTTAGAGTAAACTTCTATATACACACACGAAAGCTACAGCTTGAGAGGCTTTCTAACTCAATCTGAGGAAAGCCATTACCGCTTTAGAAACAGTGAAACAAGTCATTTGCAGACCAGCCTTGGCTATTATCACCCTTTCTCAGTGCTGTCTTAAATGGAGATTAGGTAGCAGAGGTGGCCTGCCTTCTGCAATAGTTTAGCAAGTGTGTGCATGTGTATGCATAAGCTGTGTCTCCAGAAATAAGCTAAGGTGCTTGCAGCAGTGAGAAGAGACACAGTAACTGAATATCCCCTCCTGCCTCTTAAGAGGACAGGCCCTGTCCCTAACCTTAGCATCTTTTTTCTCGGCCTAGTTTCAGATGAAGAAAAACCTCCCTCACAAAAGTAGATCTCAGCGTCTGTTACTGGTCTGCAGACTGTCCTACTTACTAATTGGTTTAGCATGTTTACTACCTTATGAGGGACTACACTAAAGATGGTGAAACAATGGAGTACGTTATAAATTGTACGTTAGGAATATTGGAAGAGATATTAGCTGTTATACTTTAACAGAACATACCAGAAGTTCCTGGTCTGTTTTCTACTGAAGTCCTGTGGATCTGCTTAGTTTCTGTGCAGCATCTGGTGTGAAGATGATAAGAGCTTCTAGGGAGTTGCTTCCAAGCCACCATGGTATCAGCTGGAGGCTGAACTGTCTGATGTTCACGTAACAGAAATGCCAAGAGTGTGATGTCCACTTAGTCCAAGAAAGATATTCCCGTCTAATTAGACTAGACCTGGAAGAGATGGATAAGCAATTGTTACATAAAACAAGAATGGAACAAAGAAAGCTTTGAGGGCATTCTACATTCAAAATATTGCGTCTTCCTTATTATCCACCCCCAGTAAAAGAACTGCTTCAGAATTCCCTTACAAAGAAGAAATGGGAAGGTAAGATCGAATAGGGTTTCCCTACCTGTGGTCTGTAAGATAGCAGCAGGTTATTTGTGAAATTATTGCAGAAATGCTTAAAAAACTAAACACAATCCCGTATTTATGAGCATACTCACAAATCAGGAAAATTAAAATAGAAACTGAATATCCAAAACTTATAGTCAATTTTTAGTTGGTATTTGGTGAAAACCTCAGTGGTAAAACAGAATACAGAAACTGCATGAAAGTTAAAACTGGAGAGTGCAGTAAGTTATTTCACTTGTGAATTCAAACAGTAAGGAAAGAGTCATCTAATCCTAAAACAAATTTTTCTTAGAATCCCAATTCTGTGCTCAGTCAATTTTTTGTCTTCTGCCTTTGTCAGATAATAAATACAAGATGCCAGAACAGTGTTTGGTTGATTCCATTTGAAATTCAGAATGCAGCTTGCTCAAGCACTATTGTTTGGGTAGAATAATACATTCTTAAGAAGCAGACAAAACAGCAAAGCATTAGATATTTCTGCCTTCCACATGTATGCTCCAGGCATCTTTCATCCAAATCAGTACCTACTGCTGAATGGAAGCTATGAAAACAAGGGGTTTTGTTGCTTGTTAGTACTGACATTAAACAACAGAATTATTTCAGCTTTTTAGGAGCCTCCAGTTTTGTCTGTATATAGAGCAGAAAGTTGTACATTATGATATTTCTTTTCCATTCTAATAAGTTCGTCCTTCATGTATGCCCTGTCTCTATCTTATGGGATAGAGATTTTTGGTTTTTAAATAACCGGTAACAGTTTTTCACTTGAGAGGTGGTTGGATGGCCTAATATGAGAGAGGGTGGAAGACTCCTGTAGTGGGAAGACGGAAGGGAGAGAGACACAAAGGTAAGCCTTGCCATTGATATCAAACATCCACTAACAAATTAGGGCACTGCAAAAACTCCTTTTGTGGCAGCTGCTCTGTAGCGGTCTATATGCCTACTTCTTTTTGTGGGCAAACAGGTCCTGTTTGTCCTACTGGTGAAAAAGAAGTAGCTTACCCTTTTTCATTAACCAGCCACACTGCATTATTCCAAAAGTCAGCATGCTAATTTGGGATGTGAAAAGGCTCACTTCTACAGGAAGTGAGCTACAGGAACCCCGTTCTCTTCCAGGGAAGTGCTACTGATCTAACAATTAAAAGTGAAGAAGCGAAATGAAATTGGGCTCACCACACTACACCAGTGTTTCTCCATCATCATGGACAGCTGATTCTTTGTATTGCTTGAAACATCTTCCTCTCCAAAGTGACTGCAGTTTGTTTTATTGAAGAAACATGGCGTGCTAAAACACATACAATTTGACCTAGAAAAGAAGATACAGTGTTTCAGTCAGTACAAAGTTGTAGTTGCCATTCACTGACAAAATAAAATGAAATAAAATAAAATACAATTTCAAATGATCATAGACTCATAGAATCATACAATAATCTAGGTCGGAAGGAACCACCAGAGTTCATTTAGTCCAACCCTGCTGATGTCATTCCAAATATATCAGACACTGCTACTGCTGACATGCCATCAAATATTAAAATAATTCATATCACATTTTTCTTCTGATAACACTGCTGGGACAAACATTCAAGGCAATGAGAAAGCAAACAGCTGCTACAGACAATGTGCACCTGAGCTGGAAATTTTTACCAAATTTGCAGATAGTGCCTGCATTCAAGGTCCATCTAAACTATTTTTTCTAAACGCATTTGTGCATATAAAAAATTATCCCACAGTTGCATAAGTTTTCCATTGGTATCAGAGCAGCACTACATTTTAAGTCATATCTCCCAAAGATAAATGATATCAACATATAAAGCTTGCAAGACAGAGTCAGCAGCATCCAGCTAACCGGCATCATGCTCGGAATCCTCTTTGCTGTGCTGACTCTGGCAACCGCAGGTATGTACCCAATTCCAGCATTAGTTCTAAAGGAAAAATGAATTTAAACACAACTGCAACTTTCCTTTACTTGGGAAAATAGATACGTTCTGCAACAGGACAGAATGAGATACAGCATAGGGGATTAATTAAAAAGTTCTCTCAAAACAGCAGCGAGGTGCTAGATTATTCTGTTCGTACTAGATGGGCTCAACTAGCATGAATGCCCTCAGCCTTTGGCAAATTCAAAGTTATTTTACTTAACTTGAATACACTGAAATACAGTTAAGCCACATCAAATTGCTTTGCATTTGCTGGGAGCTGCATCTCAGCTGACACATGAGAATTTGGTTAAGCCAACATGATTTTATCACTTGTCAGAACAACACAACAGTCCAAACAGGCTTTATATTATGCTGATCAGTCTTGACTGATGGTTGTTGTATCTTCACTTTGTACCACGTCAAATCACGCACTAGGCTGCTGCCTTGCAACGTTCTGTGTAAACACAGTTATGTTTTTTTAAAAAAAACTGTTAGAAAAATCTTTCTAAAGTTTCTATTTTTAAAACAAATCCTATTTTGCATGTCTTGTAGCCCTTGGCTGTGGGGTTCCTGCTTACCCACCTGCTGTGTCTAGAGTGGTTGGAGGGGAAAATGCAAGACCATACAGCTGGCCCTGGCAGGTTAGTCATTTCCTGCTTTTCCTGGAAAAATTAGCATTGTGCTACTCTCACATGACATGGCTGAACAAAACTAGCCCTTATATTTCATTTGAGACATCTTGCTGACATATCATATTACGCTCTGATGAATCTCAACGTTTCCAGTTTTTTAAAGAAAGCTCTGAATGTGCCACCTATTGCTAGTTATGAAGGCTTTCCTTTTCCTGTAGTCAGCTTAGGCACCACTCATCAACAAGAGTCAAAGCTTCCAAGATTTCCATCCCATATTCAAGCAAGAAGACCGAAACTCAGTGGAGAAAACTATGCACATACTGGGGCATACTTCTACGCAGAGTTAACAAATACATTTTTGTAGCAAATAAAATGCTCTATTTGGGCCGAGCTTAGCGAAAGCTTTGGAAAAACAGCACTAAAATTAAACTTTTGGATGACGGAAAGAGGGAAGCCTTTTCTGAGGGCAGGAACTGACCATTCTTGTTGCTTAAAAACCTCCCACCATCTTCCAAAGGCAAGTTGTGTTCTGGGTGCAACAGTGAAAAAATCAGAACACAAAAATCTGAGCCTTATATACTTTGTTGGTCCCAGGCCTCCCTCCAATACATTTCAAGTGGCAAATGGTATCACACCTGCGGAGGAACCCTCATTGCAAGCAACTGGGTGATGACAGCCGCACACTGCATCAGGTAAATCCTTGACTGAAGGGCTGTATCCAGAAAGCAGTGCATGACCAGAGATACATGAAGAAAAAAAACATATTAATGCCAGTTCTTCCTTTCCAAATAAGACGCTAAGTCTCATATCCTATCTTTTGATTACAACTAACAGGTCACAAGAAAGAGGATGTCTTTTTCCTTTTTCTTAAAGGTAGAGGAAGAAAAGCTCAATGTCCTGAATTACGTACACTTAATTTTCTGTAAATAACTACAAAATCATTACATTTTCAAGTTGCTATTAAAATTCAGCCTTGGTGCCTGTTTCTATAGTTCATTTGGCAGTGAGATCTAAAGATAACCACTCAATCCATTCCCTGAAGAAATAATCACAAATGTTTTGAGTTTACCAGTCCTTTCTGGTAACCCCTTCATATTCTTACGCAGTGGGAAAGTATAATAAGGAAATGATCGGGTACAGCTATGCCCCTTCATCGTCAAAAATGTTTTCACAGCAGCAACCCCTTTTTGGTTCAGTAGCCTGCGTCCTTGAGCATACACGTACCTCCGGTGGCCAAGATGCAGATGGCTTTGCAGCAAGCTGGTAACTGCATAACTGAGTGATAACCCTTAGTCCTTTTCTTCCTCAGTTCTTCTAGAACGTATCGAGTATTTCTTGGGAAATACAACCTAAAAGTTGAGGAAGAAGGATCAATTGCAGTCCAGCCAGAAAAAATCATTGTTCATGAGAAATGGAATCCAAATAAAGTTGCAAATGGGTAAGTCAGTGGCAAGTATTTTTTCATATATTAGATGCAGGGCCAAAATTAAACTGCCCGAATCCAGGCCCCCTGAACTGTGGCAGTCAAATGTCTGGAGCCTCTAGTTATAGCTTAGGCTGACTGTGGTATTTCTAAATGAAATGGATGAGAGTTTGAGCCTCCAGTCTCTATCTTTCTCCCTCGAGGGAGGATAGGGAACTTTCAGTATTAATTACTTACTAATTGCATTTTCAGCTGCAGTTTCGCATGTTGAGAAGCTGTTGTCCTAGGCAATAATCTCTCCTGTATAGTGGAAATGGATGAATTGATCAAACAATTGATATAATGTTCTTTGAAGCCCTCATATGAAGGCCATAATTGTAAAGCACTATTGATAATTGGTTCTAATATCTTTGTTGCTGAAGGACTGCTATGCCCTGCTGCAGGCTGAGTGCATTAGCAAAGAAATCATCTCAGTTTCCAGCTGCCCAGAGTTACAGTTCTTAAAATGGCTTGTTTCTGGTGAACAGAATCTGTGAAAGGTCATTTCCAGAACGCCGCCAGCAGGAAAGCGGACAGTTCTGCAGGGAAGAGCTGAGTAACAATGAAGAAACTTCCTTGTCCCAGAACAGTTGCCAGCGTAGAAACCTGTAGCTCTAGGAGCCACTATGCAATTACAGACTTTGCCTATACTTTGTGAAGCTGCAGTGCTTCACAATGCAGTTAAAGAAACCAATGCATGGATTCCCCCCTGCTTTGAGGGTGCAGGAATCTTTACTTACCAGGCATTGGTCTCCTTGCTCCCTTGCATCTCTTCTGAATAGGCCAAGTGTTGTATAACTGCTAAATTTTCAGGCTTCTATATCTTACTCTCTTTGCCATCCTCTTTATCCCTTCATTTCCCTTCCCCACTCTCATATATGTGCATACGACCACAGGTACGACATTGCTTTGATCAAACTCACCAAACGTGTCACCTTAAGCAACCAAATTGAGCTGGCCTGCCTCCCCGCTCCACAAAGCATCCTAGCATCCAACACTGCCTGCTATGTGACAGGATGGGGAAGGCTGCAGAGTAAGTACTCGGACAGCTGCAAGACTGTAAAACAAAATCTTTCACTATTGCCTTCGGGGATTGATTGGAAAAAGGCTGTTGTTGGTGCTCAAGGTCCCTTCAACCCCAACGTAGTGAGGTAGTTGATCAGACCCCCATTTCACTCGCACAGTGTTTCTTCCCTCCCTTTCCTTGGAGTATATTTTGCTTGTAGTGGGGCTCGAAATGCACTAGAGGGCCCTAGGCTTTCAGAAGCTATTGCAGCACAAACATTAACGGTGTGCAGGCTGATGAGTTTGCTAATGCTAATATACCCTGTGGAAGAACAGAAAAGACTCATAATGGAATAGATGTGAAGTGAAAAAAATCTCAGAGACTTCAGCAGTGTCAATGCTGCTCAATAGGCAATTCCTAGAGTGTTAAATAAATTGCAAAGCTCTGAGCAAAGAGCAGCCGCTTATTTCTCCAGCACAGAGACATTTTTAAATGGAATGAGAATTATTAGTAAGTTAAGGCTTTTCTCTGATGAAAGAGTGCAGAAAAGGAATGGATTATACAGCCTCTCCTTTAATACAGCTTCTATGGAGTTTCCTACCCGGAGGAATACTACCTAGATCCTGGGAGAGGCTGAACAGTGCAGGTTTGTTCTTTCTTCAGTGCCAGCTGGTACCATGACTCCTTTGCTTCTATTTCCTTGCAGCAAATGGAGCTCTTCCAGATGAACTGCAGCAAGGCCTTTTGCTGGTGGTGGATTATGCAACTTGTTCCAAGAACAGCTGGTGGGGGAGCACGGTGAAATCCAACATGGTTTGTGCTGGTGGGGATGGAGTCACCTCCAGTTGCAATGTGAGTCCAGAGAACGCTGCTCGTAAGGGCTGGTTTCAGACACAAACAGATCTGATGGGAAGGAAGTCTTAAAAAATGGGGAAGCACTATGCACGCTATGACTGCCATTAACTGTGTTCCCTCTTCCTCCCAGGGGGACTCTGGTGGCCCCCTGAACTGCCAAGGCGCTGACGGCAGGTGGGAAGTGCATGGCGTTGTCAGCTTTGGCTCTTCTCTGGGCTGCAATTTTTATCACAAGCCTTCTGTCTTCACTCGGGTCTCTGACTTCAATAGCTGGATCCAGCAGGTAAGGGTCTAGTTATTGCTACTCAGACAATACAGACACATAGCTTTTTCTAAGGTCATCATCAGACACCTCGGGGAGGTGGGCGGAAGAGGGATGGGGAAGACCTTTAAAGGTTTATTTAAAGGTTTATTTGAGGAAAAGTACCTAAAAAATTATTTCATAGTTATCCTTGGTTATATCACTTTAAGTAACCTCTCTATGTAAACAAGCCCTTACCAGCACAAAAGCAGTCCCTACAGCAAAAAATATCTTCCTCTTAAATAGTTACCCAAATTATTTCCACCTTTAGATAAGTCTGGATCTTTAGGAACACATTCTGCCCTTGTACTAAAGATATATTTATGGGCATTAAAGGTTTTGTTGGCATGACTTCTGAAGTGATTACTCAAGCATTCATATTCATTGTTTGTTACAATCGCATCCTAGAAGGCAACGCATGCTGCTCAAGTCTGTAACATCACTTATTTGTTAATATAACCCTAACCTAAAGAGTGACTGAGAAGCAAAGATCTTGTTTCAGTTATTCAAATGCTGCATCTTGGCTGCAGCGTACACTATTCACAAATTCCTGGGTCTTCTGATCTGATTTTTGCCTTATTTTACATTTTTGTAGGTTATAAACAGCAACTAATGCAAAGAGAAGTGGATGATAGATGAGAACAGTACCAAGAAGGAGAACAGCCTGAATAAAGTCATGGTCATGACACCTTTGATCATAAAGAGCTGGGAAATTATGCATGTACAAATAACAATATTGTACTTAATCAAACTGTAATAAACACTGGTTTTGGCAACACGAAAGAAAAACGTGGGTCAAACGTTCTTGTGTATTGTCAGAACCAGAGCCTTCATTTAGCGATGATGCTGGAGACCTTTTACAGTCCTTCCCCTGTCTAGGGCTGGAGCTTGATACTCTCACCTGGGGGAAGATGCGAGCCCTGCTGTGAAGAGGATGCATGGTGGAGGAAGAGTCGAAGAGCTGCGGGAACAGTTTCGGAGGGAGGAGGTGTGAGAAAGCAAGGTGGTGGCAGGGCTGAGATGGGCGGCAGGCAGGACCCTTGGGCCAGCGAGCGGGACCTCATGGCTGGCGAGCTGTCCTCACCAGAGCAGAGAGCGGCGATGCCTGGCGGAAAGGCAGCGTGGGCCTCGGCAGGCGAGTGCAGGTCAGTGCCGAAATGCTGCAAAATGCCCGCTTTTACAGAGAAGTTTTTAACACCATGATCTTGGGGGTTAGCAACCCGGCAGCAAGGGGCTCCCACTGCATTGCTGCAGACCTACCTGCTTCATATCCACTTTGCTTGTTTTTAAGTAACTCAGAGCCCAGGCAAAGACCTCTGAATTGTTGCTGTCGGCCAAGACACCATCAGATGCACATAACGTTTTTTGGCAAAGCGCAAGCAGAATCACATCTTTTAGCCCAGTATTAAATTAAAGCCTCTATTTATATTTATTTCATTGTAACAAAAAGCAGGCAGTGTAAAATCAAGGTAGACTGTCACTGTGTTTTTGTTCTACCTCCTGGCACTTATTTAGATGGATTCCAAACTAAAACAATTGATTAAGAAAGGAGAACAAGTGATGCAAAGGTAAGCAGTAGATGGAGTAAGAAAAATATTGGAAGTCATTCTGAGAACAAAAAGGCATCTGGGTTTGGGGATAAATTTTTCTAGGCTTGCAGTTCCTGCGAGTCAGACATTTTGCCTTTGTTCCCTTTGGATTAACATGGTAAATATAAATAACAGAAAACAAGGGGAACTTATTATCTTCGGAGACTCTAACTTCTTTTCTTCTACTTTAAAACTACTGAACATCCTTCTGCTGCAAAGAGCACAGCAGGAACTTGTTTTGCCTAATATCAGCCTCTGCTGAGAAATAGCAGGCTCTTTTGTGTTTTTATTTATCTTCTTATAAATCTAATTTCACCTATCCAAGAGAGCAGGGGATCTGAGAAGGACTTTTTTTTTTTAATCACTTCTACTACACAGAGGAAAAGAGGAAAAAAAAACCGCTGCGCTGGATGGATGGATCGGCAAACTTGCTCCTTGGTTGTTCTTTATCAGGAGAAATAAGGGTTGCATACGGAGAACAGATTTACCCAAGATTGCCCTGCTTCAGCGTAACATCCTGAGTTGCTTTTGTGAGCATCATTACAGTAAGATTGCAAATGATTGATTAATAGTTCTGAAAAGCAAAATTATTAGAGGTTATTCTGCTGTATAGCACACGGATGCCAATCATGTGCAGCACGAAAGAGAAGGACAGGAGATGTAATCATGAAGCTCAAACAGTAAAAATTGGATATACATATGCTTTCTGTAAAAACTGTAACAAAATGGAATTTGATTCATTTTCTTTCTGAAATATTCAGACAGCACTGTGGAAATGTCCAAGCTTATTTAAACATAGCAGCACAAATCATTCTTCATCTAGAAATTCCTATTAAGAACAAATTCTAAAATTTTTTGGTAGTTGTTTGGATTAATAACTTCAACCATTCCAGTTCGTGATCACTGTAATGAATAATCATCTTTTCATGAGCCTGAGATTTAGATAGAAGTACCAGAAAGAATAAAACCTGCAGCAAATGATTTTATCAGTCTTAATACTCACAGGAAAACATTATATTTTCATTTGTGTTTTTGCAGCTCTGAGAGGGTCATGGAAACAATCTCTTTACCTCACTTTTTCTTTTAAAAGAAAAATCCTGATGGACCAAAATTCACAGAATCACAGAATCGTTTAGGTGGGATGGGACCTCTGGAGATCATCTAGTCCAACCTCCCTGTTCAAGCAGGGTTACCTAGAGCATATTGCCCAGGATCACATCCAGACGGCTTTTGAATATCTCCAGCGAAGGAGACTCCACCACCTCTCTGGGCAACCTGTTCCAGTGCTCTGTCACCCTCACAGTGAAGAAGTTTTTTCTCAGGTTCAGATGGAACT